TCTACAGTTAATTTTAGTGTAAGGTGTCAGGAAGGGGTCCAGTTTCTGCTTTCTGCACATGGCTAGCCAGTTTTCCCAATGCCGTTTATTAAACAGGGAATCCTTTCCCCATTGCTTGTTTTTGTCAGGTTTGTAAAAGATCGGATGGTTGTAGATATGTTGTGTTGCCTCCAAGGCCTCTGTTCTGTTCCATTGGTCTATATCTTTGTTTTGGTATCAGTACCATGCTGTTTTGATTACTGTAGCCTTGTAGTATAGCTTGAAGCCTGGTAGTGTGATGCCTCCCGCTTTGTTCTTTTTGCTTAGAATTGACTTGGCTATGCGGGCTCTCTTTTGGTTCCATATGAAGTCTAAGGTGTTTAAAAAAAACTTTTATTTTTAGAGACAGGATCTCACTCACTCTGTCGCCCAGGCTAGAGTGCAGTGGTGTGATCACAGCTCACTGTAATCACAGTCTCCTGGGCTCAAGCAATGCTTCTGCCTCAGTTTCTTGAGCATCTAGGAATACAGGCGCATTCCACTTTGCCTAGTTAATTTTTATTTTATTTTTAAAATAGAGATGGGTCTCACTACGATGCCCAGGCTGCTCTCAAATGCCTCAACCTCTTAAAGTGCTGAGATTACAGACGTGAACCACCACACCAAAGGAGTCATTAACAACAAAAAAAGACATATAGCTATAATGATGAAGAAAAGAGAGGGAATAACAGGGATAAAAATTATAAGGGTTTCAAAGAAAGGTGAATGTGACACAATTTAAAAAAACTCTAAGTTGGCAAAAGTCAAGAAGTAGCCAGATTTACTACACTGCAGAACTGTCCCCACAGACCCAAGAGTTGGGGGCTCATGAAGGTAGGGATTTATTAAAAATGAGAGAAGGGATGGAAAGTCTAAGAGGTATGTAGTCAGATGTTGAGTCCCCTTCTCTGCCCTTGAGATCACTGTACCCTCTAGCTGAAGGACTACATGCTTGTTCTTGGACAACAAAACCTAAGGCCCCTGCACAGGGGACACAAAACAGAGACGAATGAGGTGACAAGCTGAGACAGGGATACTTAAACCTTTCCACTACTGAATGCAGGAACTCTTAAGTCCTCTGCTCTCCACATCTTCAGAAGAGTGATAGCAGGTCTGAATTTTCCAGGCAGGCGAATGAAAGATGCTTATGGAAAAATCTTAGTGGCCCAATAGCAGACACTGCCACTGGAATTTCCCAGTGAAACATGCTGGCCAGGGCAGCAAACTAGTGAAGCTGTCACCAAGCCCCTCCAAGACACACTTGGCTTCCACAGAGTGCCTAGCATAATATATGAACCTGTACAACACTGGGGACAAAGATCTTACAAGTCTACCAGAAACTGAAGTGGAGAAAAATTACCTGCAAACAATGGCTTTGAACTTCTGAATGGTATGTCCAGAGCAGTGCTACAAAAGTTTCTCAAATGTTCACAGAAAAAATATTTCCGACAGACAATTAAAAACCTAGGCAAAACTATCCATTCAGTGTGGTGATCCAAGACAGGTGACTCTTGCCTTTCTATGCCTCAGTTTACTTACTCATCAGTACAACGGATGTGATAACATACTGATAACACAGGGTTGTTACAACATTAAGTGAGTTGGCCAGGCACCATGGTTCATGCCTGTAATCCTAGCACTTTGGGAAGCTGAGGCAAGCAGATCACCTGAGGTCAAGAGTTCGAGACCAGTTTGGACAACCTCTCTAC